TAATTTTAAAATTAATAGTATGTTTGTTAGACCCATCAATGATAGGATTATTATGTATCAGAATACTAGTAGATGATTACCTGTTGTTTAGAAATTGCTAGAGCCTAATGTGAGTACTTATTTCTAATAGATAAGAAGTATTAAGTCTCTTGATAAAGTTTATAATATGATGTTATAGTTGAATGTTCCATATATTACAGATATTATATAGCTGAATGTGAAGTAATATGCTGGTGTGAATTGTGCAACTAAGTTTGGCTTTACTTTTAACAAATTCTATGTGACTTGTAAACATTTTGTTACATGTGTATTAATTAAGAACAATGTTATGTAGTCAATATTCAATTGTGTGAATGATGACAGTATTGATAATGTAATGTGCATATATGTTAGTAATTTGTTTGATACTTGCAATATTAATAAGGTGTGATGATTCTGCAGTAATAAGTTTGGTTTGTTTGGCTTATTTGTTATTAAGTGTAAACCAATATTCAAGAAATTTGAATGGCTTATTTGGTAAATGAAGGTTAAGAGGGTGGTTGTTGTATATAATAAGGATATAGTTAGTTTGTTTGTTATTGGTTGTAAGTACAGATTTGAAGAGGTTGATTTGTATATTAGCTATGTTAAATAATGATTCAGTTGCAAAAAGAATTTAAGATAGTTCTTGTTGTAAGGATGCAATTCAAAGAGTATCATCTATGTAGATATGAACTAAGCAGTATAAGCTAAGCTCATTATATGTTTGATGTTTTAGATTAGTTAGCCAAAAGACTTGTATAGTATAGTTATTGAAGTTGTTATAAATGTATAAAATAAGTGAGTCATAATAGATTCTCCATAAGAGAGGAGTAATAGTTTTACCTTGATCAATGCCATTGTATATAGAGTATGATGAAGTAAGTTCAAGATTTGTAATAACTTAGTTTTGTTGATCATGAAGAATATTAGTAATAGCATTTATTATAGAGTTAGGAAGAGCAAGATGTTGTAATATTTTTGAAGAAGAGTAAGATTAACTGAGTTATATGCTTTACTTATGCCTTAAGATAAGAGCCAAATTGGTTTGTTGTTACATAATGCATCTTCAATAAGATTATTAAGTATATGAATTGGTATAGATATACTATTGTTGGATAGAGCTACATAATTGTAAAATGAAAGTATTGGATATTGAGAAAACACAGTACTGATTCTAGTAGTAATAATTTTTGTATAGACTTTTTGAATATGTTTAATAAGACTAATAGAGCAAGTGAGACTTAAATTACTATTAAATGTATTATGTTTTGGCATTGAATAAATTCTGCTATGTTTTCATTATTTGGAAATTTGACTTAAGTTAAAGCAATAATTAAATAGAGCTGTAATAGCTTTAATGCAAATAGTATCTGTATGTTTAAGCATTTCATAGCTGATACCTTTAGGTCCACAAGCTTTTTCATTTGAAAGTTGTAACAAGGTTTGAAAAACTTTATCTTCTGTAATAGAAGAGTTAAAAGAGTTGTACTATTGGGTGTTGATATGTGATTGTAGTTAATAATGTATATGCCAGAAGCTGTTAAACAGTGTTTGATCAATTGGTCAATATGCAGTTTAGTCATGAAAGTGAAATTGTATATGCTGTTTTATGAGTTTGGGATCTGTAATAAGTTGGTCAAGAAGTTTGATGTTGAAAAAGTAAATAGGAGCTTTGTATCGATTAAAAATACTGTTAAAAGCTTGTTTAGAGTATGTTGAAAGTATTTCACATCTTTTTTCAGTTGCTTGTTGGATTTGTTGGCAAAGTAGTAATGAGTTTTCTATATGACAAGCATGATAAAGTTGTTTTCAGATATCTTGTGCATGTTGGATCCATGTATAAGTTTGAGAATTGTCATCTGGATTAAAAGTTTGAAGGTCATAGTAGGATCTATTATTAATAGTCTTGATTCTAGAGTTTATCATGTTCATGTTAAGATTGTTGTGAGTATTTTTAACAATTTTTATTAGATGCCCAAGCTCTTTAAGTAATGTATAGATTAAGATAGAGTTAGAAAAATATTGGTAATTGTAACTGTGTTTACAAGTTTTTTTGTTGGGAATAGAATGTATTGCAGTATTAATTATTGAATGTTCAATCTTGTGCCAAGTAGTTTTATTGCTTTCATTAGTATCACTATTGAGTAATATATTGTAAAGACTAAGATTGTAAGAGAAAAGGTCAAAAAATTCTGTTTATTTTTCAGTTAACATAGCTTTGTAATTGAAAATTCTATGACTAATACCAGTATGGTGATATGAAGATTTGCTATATGCATTAGTAAAAGTCTAAGTAAATATAAGAATAAAGTAGTCTCTAAGTGTTAAGGTATTGCTATTATCAAGTTTGCATGAAAGAAAAAATTAAATATTAAATAAATCAGTCCAGATATAATCAATACAGCTATGGTTAGTATTATTTAAGGGTAGAGGGTATGTCGATCATTTTTCATATAATCATAATTGTACAAAATAATGTTACACATAACAACATAAAGATGCTACTAATAAAACTTTTTAGGAATAAGATCAAATTTTGTCAAATTTTTGTGGCTTATATTTCAAAACCTTCTATTTATAATAGTAAAATAATTAATTAATATTATATAGTCAAATTACTCATAAATAATTAAGTAAATGCTACAGGAGTGTATTTAATTTTGTGGGAGTGACAATTAAAATCTAAAATGTTCTATTAGTGTTCTAGAACTTTAAGAATGTGATCGATACTATGTAACAATAATTGCAATTTACAATTTTACTATGTATGTATTACTTTTATTATAACAATTTTGCTATAAATAAAAATATGTTGTTTTTTTAAAAGATTATGTCTAGTTTGTACCAAAAATTAGTTCAACAAAAACCTTGGGCCTGAATTGCTTTTTAGCATGACAATAAAACATGGATTGTAAGAGAAATAGATGAAACTTCAGAAGTACTTGACCTTCATTCGATTTTAACTTCTATTAATCTAAAAGCTACAGAAGCAAATTTTAATTTTCATGCAAGATATTATCTACATCAAAATAAAAATAATAATATAAGTTGGGTTCCTTTATTACCTGGTTATACTATATATACACATTTTTAAAAAAACACTTTCAGTTTAAAATTGCTAAAGATAAAAATAATCAAATATGTTTTGAGTAGTATGATTTTGATAATGATTTAACATTTCAAAAATTACAGAATAGTGAGTCTGACTACACAGCTTATCGAAGTTTATTGCACAAATATAATGCTAAAAAAAAATCATTTCTGTGGATTATGGGATTTCTTAATTATAACAATATTCTTTTTTTACAAAATATAATAACTTGATGTTATTCTTATATATTCAATAACTATAATCAAACTATAAAAGCATTTCAAAAAGAAACTAAATTAGAAAATACTATGAAACGCATTGCTAATGAGCTCAATAATAAAATAGATGAAAGTGAATTACTGATTTCTAATAGAATTTTACTTGAATGGCATGGTAAATATTTAACTTTACAAGAAATCCAGGCTTTAATAGTAAAATATAATGAATTAGTTCAAAAAAATTATGCTTTAAATCAAAAGATCCAATGACTTCAAAAAAAAAATTATTGAACTAACTAACGATAATAAACAATTTGATACTAAAAAAGATTCTAATAAACTATTAGAGATAATAAAAGAAAATATTAGCAAAGCTAAGCTCAGATCAACTATTTTAATAGACTCAAAACAGTATCTTTTGTTAGTTTTTTCACAATCATGTACTAATTGTGGTAATATTCAAATTTTTAAATGTACTTATATTGTTGATACTATTGGATTTTTAGTAAAATATCAAATTATTTGTTATTTATGTAGTGAGGTAATAAAAAATAATAATGAACCAAGGATTATTTGATATTCAAAGGCAGTTTCAGCAGCAGCTTTAGCAGATGGTTTTACTTATCATTCTTTGCAAAGTATTTTTGCATGTATTGGAATTACTAGTCAAAGTTGTAGAAAAAGCTATTATTTATATCAAGCACCATTACCATATGTTTCTGAAAATAAGCTATCTTTTTTTGGCAAATTTTAGATACAAAAAATAAAAGGTAGCTTATTTTCGGTATTTACTATTTTTAGAGTAATTTAGGTTCAACAAAGAGGGTAGCTTATTTTCGATACTTTCGATACTAAAAACTCTAATCGGGTAATATAACATCTACTTTAGGTTTATCTTGTAAAAATTTATCTGCAAGTTAACTGATAATGCATGTAAGTTGTTTATATATATATATATTACTATATATGTACTAATGCTAATATTAAAAAATCATGTCTTACGTACATATATGTATAAGTATGCTATACCAATAATCACTCAACTATCAAAGAACTGGCTTTTTTTTCTCAAACTTTAAAAAAAAAAACTACTGATATATATTGTTAAATACTAGTAGCCTGGGAAAAAAAATAAAAATAAAAATAAAAATCATGATACTTGGGCTTTTTCCACATGTTATTTAAAGCAACAATCGCTTTTTTTTTTTTTACTATATAAAAAAAAAAAAATAGAAAATACTAGCAGCCTGGGAAAATATAAAAAAAAAGAAATAAAAATCGTAATACCTAGGCTTTTTACATACTATACGCACGCACATATATGAACAATAATAATCATTTTAAAAACTTTTTTTTTTTTTAAACCTCGTCATATGACGTGAAGTCTTTTACTTCAAATTTTTTTTTTTTTGATTCAAATTTTTTTTTTTTCACTACATATTCAAATTAAGTGATCGTGAGGCAACAGTCGAAAAATAGCCTGGGGAGTCACCTGGAAAAGTAATAAAAAGAAATAGAAATCATGATAAAAATCTGGGCTTTTTTTATATATCATCTTTGTTCTGAAATAAGGAAAGTACAAGCAGAGGTACTTTATATAAATACTACTGATTTTCTTGGAAATGGAAAAGCTTTTTTAAAAGCATCACAAACTTTTTACAACTCAAGTTATGAAAAGACAAAGAAATTTATATTCAATAGAAGAAAAGCGCCAGGCCATAGAGTTGGCTCGTTGTACTTCAAATATATATGCTGCCAACTACTATTCTTTAGATTTAACGATGCTTGGCCGATGGGTCAAACTATTTTCACAAGGCACCCCTTCCAAAAAAAACTTACGAAGGGTTGGTTCTGGGCGTCATGCGTTTTTTCCTGAAGAAGAAGCTCAACTTTATAAATGGATGAAGGAAGTTCGACAAAACGGTCTTGCTGTCACATATTCTAATCTGAGGATAAAAATGGCTAAAATAATGAGTAAAAGTTCTAAACAAACAAAAGATGAAACCAAAAAGTTTGCAATTAGCAACTTTAAGTTCTCGCCATGATGGCTTCGCTGTTTTTTAAAGCACCATGATCTTTCTCTTCGGCGTAAGACTAAAATCACACAGAAGTTACCGAGAGACCTTGAAGACCAGCTTCTTAGTTTTTAGCAGTTTGTAATCTGTCTTCGTCAAAAAAATGAATATCCTCTTAGTTTGATAGCCAATATGGATGAAACTCCCATTTGGTTTGACATGGCAGGGAATTTAACAGTAGATCAAACAGGTGCAAAAACAGTACATATCCGAACAACCAGCAATGATAAAAATCGATTCACCGTTGTCTTGACATGTCTTGCCGATAGTACTAAGCTCTCTCCGATTATTATCTTTAAAGGAAAGGTTTGGCCAATTAATACACCTTCACCTCTGGCTAGCGCGGTTGTTTGGTTCTAGGACAAAGGGTGGATGGACGAACCAGGAATGGAAAAGTGGATAAAGTATTGGAACCGGGAATGACCAAGACATCGTAATTCGAAGGCAATGCTTGTATTGGATTCTTTCTCTGACATATTACGGATCAGGTTAAGGCTGAGTTTCATTTAGGAAATACTGATTTGGCTGTAATTCCTGGGGGTCTCACTAGTATGTGTCAGCCTCTTGATGTTTGCATTAACAAACCTTTTAAGAACAAACTTTGAAATTATTGGCATGAATGGATGGCAAATAGTGGTAATAGCTTTATTAAGGGTGAAAACTTGAGACGCGCCAATTTGAATACAGTTTGTCATTGGGTTTTGAACGCCTAGAATGACATTTCTGATGATATTATTGTCCGAGCATTTAAAAAATGCAGTATCTCCAATTGCTTGTCAGGAAGTGAGGATTATTTAATCTACGATGATTGTAAGGATGATAAAGATGATGAATTTGATGAAGACTCTGCAGGATCTGATGAAGATGAAGAATATGATGAACAGCCTGATTAAGGTGAGGAGCCCAATGAAGGTGAGTAGCCCGATGAAGGTGAGAAGTCTGATGAAGATGAGAATATGTAAGAATATAATAAGTGGCCAGAATGTTATGTCGTTATTGGATAAGGCATGCTTGAAGGAATTGCATACCATATAGTATAAAGTAAGGATTCGAATAATTATTATTATTATTATTATTATTATTTATTTATTTATCATGAAAGTAGGTTTAACACCACTGCTTATCGATCTTAG